TTTAAAAAAAAAAAAAAAAAAAAAAAAAAAAAAAAACAGACAGAAACAGAAACGTAAACGAAAACAAATTTAGCGAATAACTGAATGTCGAATTTGTGATCACGAAGCTTGCTCTGGCATTCCAATCTTCGAGAAGGAAGAAATTGGCAAGCCAACTGATTCAAATCGAACAAGAATTTTGCAGTCGGCATACATTAGCGTTATCCGCATTGAAGTAATCGTTAAAATCCACTGTTTCCGTCCTTTTTCATTGTTCAATCTCCGCGAAGAACAGAGCAGAGCGGAAATAATCAGAATCTGTCTTCTGGACGATCGGAAATATCCAGTTTCACTCCCAACTTGCGAAGGCGATCGTTCTTCCTCTCTCTCATTCCATCTGTATCGAATTCTGATTCGGAGATGTGCTTCCAATTCCGTTCATGGGTATCGATCCCTCGCCACTAGCTACGTATGTTCCTCAATCCTTATAACAATATTTTGCTTCTCATTTCAATGCCAGATTATTCACCGATCTATTTCATTCCCTCGCAGACTTAATTTCAGATTTATTACCTTCGATTGCGATGAATTCCTTTGATTCTGAACTTGGTAGAGTTTCTGCTGTGATTCTCGATCTCGATGGAACCCTTTTGGACACTGGTCTGTAATTTCTTCTATGAGTTCAAATGTTTTTCTATTTTCACGTTATGATTGTATGAGAATGCAGCTACACTGTTGTATTATGTGCAGAGAGGGCGACAAAAGACGTGTTGAAGGATTTCTTGGTAAAATATGGGAAGGATTTGGATAAAAAGAGGGAAGAGGAGAAGAGATTGGGAGTGACCCAGAAAGAATCAGCGGCTGCAATCGTTCGGGACTATGGCCTTCCATTGACGCCAGACCAATTTATTCAAGAAATTACTCCCATGTACAGGGAAAAGTAAGATTCCAGCTCTTGTGTTTAGCTCGTTTCCTTGATTTTTATTTGGAGGATTGTTTGGAGGGAGTCTTGGCCAAATTTAGGGAATGATCCTGGGTTTATAAGTAACGAATGCATCTCCGTTGGTATGAGGTCTTTTGGAGAAGTTCAAAGTAAACCCATGAGAGCTTATACTCGAAGTGGACAATATCATACTATTGTAGAGGATCGTAATTTCTAACGATGATGGAACTGATGAAATGTTCTTTCAGATGGCCCTCTGTCAAAGCACTTCCTGGTGCTGATCGTCTTATCAAACATCTTTACTCTCACAAGGTGCCATTTGCGCTCGCTTCAAATTCATCAAATGAATATATCTACGCAAAAATTGCAAGTCTAAACGGTATTTTTTTCTTTATATGTCTACTTAATTTATTTTTTCGTCTGAATATCTTGCAAATAGAGTGGCATAGAGGGTTGAACTAGGCTCAACTTCACCCGCATATGGTTTTCTTGAAAATTAAAGAAGTTCGATGTTGTTAAATTGTTATTTCATAGTGGATAATGGATAATGGATTACTTTGAATTTAATTAACGAAGTATGAAAAAAGGTTTGAAGTGAATGAGTTCAAGTCATCCAATAAGTAGGACCTCGACTAATGTAGTAGGGTCAAGCGGTTGTCCTGTGAGAACAGTTGAAGTGTACTCAAATTGGCTTAGACAATGACGGGTATCAGCCCAATGATGAATAGAATTCAGAATTGGTCATTTTCTGATGCACATGTTTTGCTGCCAATTATATGATATGATTAAACTCCTGCATTGTAGGGTCATATTCTCCTGATTGCTTTTCAGAAAAACCAATGTGTATGCAACACATGGAATTATTATGGAACAGTTCTCTATCCTTCTTTACTTTTTATTTTCTTTTGAGGTTGTCTATGATGTGCTGAACAGATCAGTGCTAATTTTGAGTGATTATAGCTATAATATTGTTTTCCAGCTTCCCAGTAATTAGATATCCACAGCTTTCTTCGATCTTCAGCTATTGTAACTCACTTTTATATGTTCTTGTGTGCAGGTTGGAAGGATTGGTTTTCTGTGATTCTTGGTAGTGACCAGGTTATTCAAGGGAAACCTGCTCCTTATCTGTAAGCTTTTTTTTTGCATGAACCATTTGAAATCTTACTTTTGGTCATGTGGAAATGGAAGTCTAAGGAACTTCTTGCATTCCGAAATTCTAGTTATATGGATTTAATGATTTCAATGTAAGCTGGAATAAGATGTCGAGGATTATTGAAAAGAGTAGTCCCACGTTGGCTAATTAAGAAGAAGATCATGAATTTATAAATAAGGAACACAATCTCCACTGGTACGAGGCCTTTTGGGGAAACCAAAAGCAAAGCTACGAGAGCCTATGCTCAAAGTGGACAATATCATACCATTGTGAATGGTCGTGATTCCTAACATAAGATTATCTTCTGGATTAATGAAATCTTTATGATCCAAATGTTGAAGGAAATGAAAACAATTAAATTCATCAAATAATCTATATTTGATGCAGCCCAATTCATGAAAAACGAGGGAAATATCCCGAAATGAAAGAATAGAATCTTTAGTTGATTAAAAGCTAAAGGTGAAAATAGTTTCCTAGCAAGGTCAACCAACAAATTAACAAAATTTTATTGAATTATTAGTCTAAAGGTATCTGACTAAACTGTTACTCTAAACATCACTTTTTCAGATTTGAAGAGGCAGCGAAGAGGATGGGCGTAGATGCTTCTCATTGTTTGGTCATTGAAGATTCCTTGTAAGTTTGCAATTCTTTTGTCTATTAATTTTAATTACATAAATATATTCTCAAAATAATTAGTCTTGCAGCCAACATTTATTCCTCGCAGTTTTTTTCCTTCTCCTAAATAGTTTATTGCAATTATTCTGCAGCAACAGTTAATGACATAAAACTATCTGCAACCCCGTTCCTCTTTGCTCTTGATTTTACTTTTTTCGTCCCCTCAAGTTTGCAAGTAACTCGATTACACTTTCAACCACCACCTTAATTCAGACTTTTTACCTGGAAACTAACTGGTTTATCACTTTTTATGCATTTGGAGTGTTAGTAGTAATTTTAGAAGATCTTTTCGGATATTCATATTAAGCCAACTTCGAAAATGACTGAATATAAGCTTCCCAAAATGGCAATGGCTGGGGAGAGAAAATGGGCCTTTTTTTAGGGTACCCTCAAAAATAGATCTAGTAGAGATGGGGCGGGGCCTGTAGCTCAGAAGATTAGAGCACATGGCTACGAACCACGGTGTCAGGGTTCGAATCCCTCCTTGCCTACAACTGGCCAAAAAGGGAAGGACTTTTCCCTCTGGGGGTAGGAAAATCATGATCAGGATAGCGGACCTGCTTCCTTGAGAACTTAAACGTCAATAGATTCCAATCCACTATAACTTTACCCTTCGAGGCAAAAAGGACTAGAGCAATAGCACTTCTGCATGCTAGGGATAGGCTCATTCAACCATTTAGTGATCCGTGACCCGACGCTTGAATCCGTATGACAAGCTGTATTCACTAGGCGTCCTTGCCTTTTGGGGTCATACAGTGTGGCATCTGCTACCTAGGATATCTATTATATGCATCTCCACCTTTTTCTTTTCTCTGAACAAGAGACATTTCCAACAGGGTTGGTGTCAAAGCTGCCAAGGCTGCCAAGATGAAGGTTGTAGCTGTCCCATCCCATGGAGAAGTTGAATGCTCTTCCCTAGCAGATAAAGTGCTTCATTCTTTACTGGAATTTCAGCCTGAGATGTGGGGTCTTCCCCCATTTGAAGACTGTATGAATATCTTTATTTTTCTTGTATTTTATTTCATTAGTAGTTTTTATTTATCTAATCATTGTCTCAAGTTATTTACATGATGTTTTCAGGGGTAGATAGGACCTTACCGATTGATCCAATACATCTGAGCTCTCAATATGTTAATGGGTCCATAAGTGAAATCTCAGGTGTGTGATTCTGTATTTCTCTGACTGACTTGCAATGAATACATAGTTTAATGAATTAATGAACAATCTGTTTGATACCCATTCAAGTATTGTCCTCTTTTGATTTTTTCTTCCAGATTTCCCTTCAAGATTTTGAAAACGCATTTGCTAGGGAGAGGTTTCCACACCCTTATAAAGGGTGTATCGTTCTCCTCCCCAACCGACGTGGGATCTCACACCTTTATTATTGTTTTATCAGCCTCACTTGCATCATTCAAATTTATGGAATTCTGTACTCATTCTCATCGTTTCTGCTACACGGTTCATTTTATGAAACTCTGCCTGCCAAGTAAAACTAAGTTGGATCTTGTATTAAATTGTGGAAAAAAGGGGTTGATGTATATAAATGAAAATTGCTTATCTTTTGATGCTACCAAGATTCGAATCCTCACCCACTTGTCATTGAACTGAAAAAATAGATTAATAATACTGCATGTGAGTAGGAAGAATTCTTTCATTCCTAAATTTGTTATGCTTCTACGTAATCAATACAGCATGTTCTGCACCTGTACCTCAGACTTCATCTGACCAAACTTATGACTACTTAGGATCTTGCAACCATGGATGCGAGAGAGATTGAAGAGTTCAAGTACATAGCGAACACTTTGCTCGACCGACCCATGTTTGTCAACGGTTCTTGCACATCTCTTACTGCAGAAGCAACTTCAGCATAGAAAGAGAACGAAAAAAATTAGAATAAGAAGCTTTCTTGGATAAACTTGAAAGTTGGATCAAAATGGATGGATGTGAGTATCCATGAGAGTTTATATAAGGAGTTTGCATATTGGTTCTTAGATCTAATGGGCTAAGATTCATTGCTTTAAATGGCTTTATTAGGGTCGTGAGATCTTTTATATATATATATATATATATATATATATATATATATATATATATATATATATATATATATATATATATATTTTCCGGTTTTAGTCTTAGTACCATCTCTAAGATATAGTAAGAAACTAATAGGAGAAATAAGTATTTTTTAACTTTTCAATGGCACTAGTTCGAAAAATGAAGAAAATCGCTAGTGATACCCCTATAGAATATGACTTAAAAGTGGCTGAGAGTGAAAATGTTTGGAAGTGGTTTTTTTTTTTTTTCTTCGGCTGAACATGATTAAAAAATATTGATCATATCTCGTTTTTTAACCTAATGTTTTAAATGGCTCAATTAGAGTCTTCTCGAGAGGGTTTTGACTACATATGGCTAAAAAAAACTCTTCCCTAAGCCTTATTATAATCTCCAATGAATGGTAAAAGAATATATAGTTGATAGTAACTCAGTTTTCATATAATATTTTGTTCCCTTCAAATCAATGTGATCTGACAAGCAACATAACAATTTTTGAATTGGTAAGTATTTGAGCTATCTCACCTATAAGCTAAACAGGTCTTAGACTAACCACTCTAATCCGATTCATGAATTAGGAGAGAATCCCAATTTGGACACAATTGATTTTGAAATCCTAAATTAACTCTATATAAATATAAATTATAAACTTCATAACCCAACTTTAAGCATCAGACAAGTACCATAGCTGTATTCGAATTGATTTGTAGATATTTGATTCTCGAGATTCTTCCTTGAACACATGCAAATAAGGTTGATTCAATCCTACCAGATTTAGGTGTAGAATCGAGTGATTGAAAAAATGTGGAGCATAAATGGTTAAAAGAATAGAACATGAAAACATGGTAGTGTTATAACATTCATGAACTCCACCAGTTTCCATGTTCATTACAGGACAAAGCAGTACACCATCCTTCACCAAAATTTTCAACACTTAAGCAGTGGCAGATGGGACATACCCACTCCTTTCAATTTCACCTGTCAAATCAACACAAAAGATGCCTACCTCCAAACCAAAACAAAAGGCCCAGGGCCCATCAGCCTGATTCCGTTTCTACGCGTAAATTGGTACAATGTGACTGACAGTTTAGAGTCACTGGATATTCAAAACTAGAATTTTGCGTACATGATTTGCTAAAACACTCTTAAAATAATTTTTGTGGTAGAGCCTATTTATAAAGATTTCATCCAACCTTAAGAGCTATTCACGAGGTCTTATCAAACCATAAGAACGAATTCTGAATTAAATTCTATCTTTCTCAAAATCAACCAAACCAACCCTCAACCTAAGCGGTTTGAAATTTGGATCTTTCTATCTCTACACGTTCGAGTTGTAGCAATCATATTGAATATTTTTTCCCCGTCACCAGAAAACAGAAAAGACTCACCCAGCTATGTTTTTACCAAAAATGAGTTGTTTCCTGATAATCATTAGCCTTGCTTTCTCTAGAACCATCAGTTTTGGTAAAGTTGAAATGAAAAGTTAAGAAAAAAATAATGCATGCGGTGAAAAAGTAGAGCATACCATACCACAATAACACAGGACAGGTCGGTTGTAGATGAAAAGAAAGTGCAGCTCTCTGTGTCGGTTCTGATCTGATCTGATCTGATCTACCACAAACATGAGTTTGATTTGAAGGTACAAAACAAGAAATGAGCATAGAAATAAAAGTTTGTGATTTGAAGGTACAAAACAAGAAATGAGCATAGAAATAAAATGAAATCAACAGTGCAATCCAAAGCAGCACCAGCAGTTAGAAATGAAATGAAATGAACAGTGACCGTAACGGTACAAACTCACCGCTAGCAGATATTGTCCGTGCTAGTGAGGACACTGAGTCCCAAAGAGGGGAGGACACGAAGCGGTATGCCAGCAAGGACGCTGGGCCCTGAAGGAGAGTATTGTGAGATCTCACATCAGTAAGCGAGGATAACGAAGCAATGAACAGTGGCAATACAAAGCAGATGTTTCCACACCCTTAAAAGAAATGCTTCGTTCCCTCTCTAACCGATGTGGGATCTCACAATCCACCCTCTTTGGAGGACACTCATCCTTGCTAACACACCGCATACTATTTGTAACAGCCCAAGCCCATGACTAGCAAATATTGTCCACTTTAGTCCGTTACATATTGTCATCAGCCTCACGGTTTTAAAACACGTCTACTAGGTAGAGGTCTCCACACTCTTACAAAGAATGTTTCGTTCTCCATATCACAACAACAACAACAGACTTCAAACTCAATATTATACACCAAAATGTTAACTATTGAGGCAACTATTCATAACCCTCACAGCAAAAAAAGGGTAAATGGATGATGTCCAAGATATAACCAGGGGAGACATAATAATTACATTTGTACAGGCAAATGAGACGATGAAAAAGAAAAGAAAAATAAATGGGATTCAAATGAGGAAGAATATGGTTGGATATTACAAATGAAAGAAATAAACTCAGCAAACGTTAAGTAAGAAACTTTTAGTCTGTGAGAGTTCCTCTGCCTATAATTCTAGGAAACAATTATGTAGTTGATTATGTTACACCTAAAATTACTACCCTTTTTGTATGATGAGTTTACCATCAAATGAGTTTACCATCATGACACAATGCTGGGAGTGTTTGTTGAACAATACAGCTTCTCACTGAGTCCTCCAAGAAACGGTGGATCGGACGGATCGTTTCGATCAACTTCTCCCCGTTCTTGTAAATCTTGAACGCTGGAACGGTTTTTATGCCTTCCGCCTTCGCTATGGACATGCTCTCCTCCACATCCACCTGCCATAGAAATACCGTGTTTTTTGATCGGTAGAGATTCAAAATCGTGTAATTGTAACGACTCAGGTCTATCGCTAGTAGATATTGTCCTCTTTGGGTTTTCCCTTTCGGGCTTCCCCTCAAGGTTTTTAAAACGCGTCTGCTAGGGAGAGATTTCCATGTCCTTATAAAGGGTGTTTCGTCCTCCCCAACCAATGTGGGATATCACAATCCACCCCCCTTCAGGGCCTAGCGTCCTCGCTGGCACTCGTTCCTTTCTCCAATCGATGTGGGACACCCACCAAATCCACCCCCTTTGGGCCCAACATTTTTACTGGCACACTACCTCATGTCTACCCCCTTTCGGTGAACAAATCACCTAGTGTCTGGCTCTGATACCATTTGTAACGGCTCAGTCCTACCGCTAGCAGATATTGTCCTCTTTGGGCTTTCCCTCAAGGTTTTTAAAACGCGTCTGCTAGGGAGAGGTTTCTACACCCTTTTAAAGGGTGTTTCGTTCTCCTCTCCAACCAATGTGGGATATCACAGTAACATAGGCATTGGCACAAAATGTCATGTGTTAGTCATTGTGATGAAGATGTCCCATTGACACATACCTTTATGAACTTAACAGAAGGGTAGCGTATGCATAGTGTATTCACGAACGCAGATGTTTCGTCGCATATATCGTTGGAAACCTTGAAATGAACCACTGAAACACCTGAAAATTCAAATTTTCCTTCAGACAGTTTACGAGTAATCGCGGAGGCATAACTTGCGGTGTTCGAAGATGGTGAAAGCGTAATAGAAACGATGTTTAACGATGAATGAACTCACCTGATGATGATATTGCAGCTTTCAGTTTATCAAGAGTAGAAACTTCCTCTACCTCACCACTATCTGTTCTATGATCAACTACCTCTCCACGAGATCTCTTCAATGCAACCTGTGCTTGATGTAGAGATTCAGCAACCTCACTGTCTCCTGGAAGTTCCCTCCTCAAGAACTCGAGATCTTTCACGGCATCTTCCCATCTTTCAAGCTAAAACGTTCCACGAGAGAACACGAAAACATATGAAAACACATGTCAAAACACATACAACAACATCCTGTAACAATGAGAAAGAATCGACACCGATCACCCGTTTCACCTTTGCATTTGAAGCAGCTCTACGAAGAAGAGCCTTCGTGTAGTTCGGTTGGATCTTGAGGGCTTGATTGCAGTCCTCAACAGATTGTTCCCAAAGTCCAATCTTAGCCCAACATACCGCTCGATTGCAATAAAGAACGTGGTTCGAACTATCATACTTAAGGCCCTCTCCATATGCAGTACAGGCTTCTGTATATCTTCCAGAGCTAAAAAGATCGAATCCTCGAGAACGAGCTCGTGCCACCATTTTCACATTGCTCAACAACTTCGAAACTTCAAGATTATTCATGTTAATCTTGCTAGCTCTCTCAGCTGCCTGTACTGCATTATCAAACCTGCAAGAAGACCAATGAGCTCTAATTCACCACTAAACAATAAACCGAACTTAATGTTCCCATAACGTATTACCTTCCTAACGCCATCTCGACCATGGCACGGACGTAGAACACGTAAGCTTCTGCAAGCATACCAAAGAACTTGGTTTGTGAGCATGAAGCCAAAGTTTCCATCTTAGAAACGTTTGATAAGCAGGAGTCTGCCTCTTCAAGCTGGTGGAGCTTCAAAAGGGCTTCAGCTTTACATGCAACAAGCTTTACATTGCATTCAAACAAGTTTCATTAGGAATGAATATACATATAAACACAAAGAATCATATTTATGAGTTCTACCTGTGGAGAGAAATCTGCTCCTGCTGTTATTGCTGCTTCAGCTTCCTTTAGAACACTCCTCCAGTCACCGGCTTTTCGAGCATCGGCACACTGGTTCAAGATCTTATCGAACGACTTCAACTTCTGCAACTCCGAATGGTCTGGCTGTCCTGATAAAAGGAGATGACTCCGGGATTTCTTTACCTGCCCAAATCTGGAAGCAAGAACGTCGGTCGAACCGAACCGAACCAGAAACTGCATTTAGCTTAAAAATCTAAGAACACTAATGCCATTCCTACAGGTATTGGAACCTACTGAGAAACTATCACAATATTGAAGAACCCCATTGGATAGCAGCCATTTCTAGAACTAGATATCAAATGTTCTTCACTGATCTGAAGAAACATGGTGGCAAAGCAATGAAAATCCTACAAATTAACTATGAATCAAGCAGCAGTGATAAGAACAGAAACCATGTAGATCTCAGCTACACGACCAATCATTGAATCATGTTCCAAGAAAAAGGGAAAGAACAGCATGGAGAAACCATTAAAAAACTCATTTCATCTCCTCAGAATTCAATAAAAGACTCAAACACTTACCGGAGATAAAGAGCAGCAAGCCTTTGATGAGCTCTCCCATAGCTGAGATCGAGCCTCACAGCCTCCTCACACTCCCTCACCGCCTCCCCCAGCCGTCCAAGCGCCGTCAACGCTGCCGCCCGGTTGCTCCGACAAGCTGCATTTTCCGGGAATAACGAAATGGCTCGATCATACAACGACAAAGCTTCTACGAAATTCCCTCTTCTATACAATTCATTCGCAGCCCTCTTGACTTCCTCTGGATCGGAGATCGCCATTGCCCTTTTAACTATCGAAGTTTCACCACCCATTAGTAAATTCCCTTCAGCAAGGCTTCCCGGATTCCCCAATTTCGCGCCGCCACCGCCGCGAATAATGCTTCCGTGGCCGTAATTCCCAGTGCCGGACCCCAACGTGTCGGTCCGAGTAGGAGTTCTGTGCGCAATGTTGGCCTTCAAAACTTTGCCGGAAGGGCAAATGTTGCCGCTCGGAAACACATTGCTGATAGAGTTTGAAGAAACCGAGTTGATTCCATTGCTCGTAGTTGTAAGGGTTTTACCCGAGTAGATTAGTGGCGATCCGGTCGATAACGACCGTCGGTGACCCGGCCTTGAACTCCGCAATGCGGCGGCGGATCGTTGGCCATCGAAACCACTCGGACTCGTCTCCGACGACAATGAGAGCTCCCCAGAATGACTGTCCGGTTTCCCCTCCGATCTTTTACCCATTTGCGTATTGTTAGTTCTGCCGGTAACTGAGCCAGATGAGCCGGAACTGCTACTGGAAGTGTTAGCCCCACCAATCCCATAGCCATTGTCGCCGGTAACCAAGCTTCGAGTCGTCATCAATGGCGAAACCGGCGAACCCAGATCGTGCTCTTTCACATCAGGCTTATTGTCCCCCAAACTAAATCCATCGCGAAATCGGCCAGTTAAAGAATCAGAACCCATTTCTTGAATCTATTTCACAGTTCGAACATTCGCCTAACTATTTACAGTCAAAACAAAAATTCAATTACCATAATTTTTTAATTTTATCAATTTGTTAGTTAATTTATTGCCGACCAATCCCAAACACTTCATAAAATTTAAAAAAAAAAAAAAAATTAAAATTAAAAAAATCAAATTAAAACTTTTTTATTTTGAATTTGGAGTAAAATAATCCTATAAATTTTAATTTTATACCTAATAATTAAAAAAATTAAAATATTTTATACTATTAGACACTAAATTTTAATTCTATTAAATATTTTTTAAAATTCAAAAAATGTTTGATTTTTTTTTCCACCCAATTTGAGTACTTGGTTCAATGGGTTCCATGAATTTCCAATAATTTATGGGGTAAAAATAAAAAGATTGGAGGACATTGAGCCCATATGGGAAATACAACCAAAATGTGTGTTTATGGGTTTGTTTTGGATCTTATCCAAAACAAATCCTTAGTATTTACTTTATTGCCAAAAACTATTAAATATTACCCTATTTCTTTCATTTTTTATTCTCATCAATTTAGTTTAATTATTGTATTTTAAATTAAATTTTAATTTAAATTAGGCGTTTAATTTCTAAATCTATATATTTAAAAAAATAAAAAAAATCGACCATAAAATAAGCATTTTTTTTTTTTTTTGGTAGCAACTTGAAGTTATGGATTTTTAGTTTATGCATAGTATGTTATCAGTCTATTTTATTAAATTTTAGAAAAAAATTCAAAATTTTTAATTTTGCCGGTTCATGAGGTGGGAACAGAAAAGTCACTTGTTTCAATCCCGAGTGATTTCTATTAAAAATATAAAATATCCTCATAAGTAGGAACATATGTAATGGTCAACGATCGGAAATTGGGTAGAAGAGGACAAGAAATATAATCTCATCTTTAATCTTGTTTAGAGAACGGAAAGAAATTTCTCCATGCTCCCTCTAGGTGGGAGGGGGACGAGAAATATGATCCTGTCCTCGACCCTGTTTAGCTAACAGAGATAAATCCCCACCCCCCTCCTCACCCTCTCCGAGAATAATAAATGGTTGAATTTTAATGGATTTGTAATGATTAAATAAGGAAATTTATGATTTTTCTTTTGTCTTAAAATAACTTTTATTCATTTTAAAAAAGAAAAATAATAAAATTTTGCATTAGCTTTTCTAATTTATTTTGTGTTTTTTAGGGGAAAAAATGATTAAAAAAATATAAAAAGTGGGAAGGTAGAGGATTGATGGAAGTGAGCTGGCATGGTCCTAATTGCTGACGTCAGAATCTGTCCTTTTCAATTAGGGTGTAAATGATGCTTACGTGTCTTTACTCATTTTACTTTGCAAAGATTAATTCAGACTAGATTCTTTACGCCATTTATGACCAAAATAACCCTCTCTCAATGACCAGAATACCCTTCTCGTCTAAGATATTAAAATTAAATCTATTCAATAATAATTCCAATTATTAGATATTAATATCTCCCTTCATGAATAATAAGTTTTTTAAACCTTATATCTCATTTCTAAAATGTAATATTGCTATAAAAAGAATAAAAAAAAGACAATTTTAAGACTTACGTTCTCTCGTGAAATAACCAAATCAATCATTGATAATTAATAATTTTAAAATATCAATCACCAATTTAAAAATTATCTATTATATTTATCCTAAAAATAACTTTTTTTTATTTAAAAAAAAAAGACAAGGGTAGAAAAGTCATTTGGTAAAGCATGCAAGGGGAAAAGAGTCTACAAATCCAGAAACTGAATGCCAACACCTTCCAGCTAGGCAAGTCAGGCGCCAAAACCATTTGCCGTTTTTGCGCCGTTAGCACTGTCGCTAAGATATCCCCTGTTTGGCTACACGGATTCCCTCTAAACTTATCCCTAACAAAAACGTATTCTTGTTGTTGCCAACTAAACTCCAAACAAACAAAACCCCTCAATTTTCCTATTTTTTTATTAATTTTTTTATTATTTACATTCATTATTAATTAATTTATTTATTTATTCCAAGAACTGGCAAACCACACCAATATCCCTTATATTAATTTTAATTATACCCCCAATATACTAATTACAATATAATTTAATTGGTTAAAAAATACATTATTATTATTATTATTATTATTATTATTATTATTATTATTATTATTATTATTATTATTATTATTATTATATGTTTTTTTTAAATCCATTTTGATCTAGACAAGACAAACCTAGGAATTTCAAAGGGCATTCCATTGGTCAAAGGTAAGTGATGGGTTCTTTTTCCCTATTTAAGTGGGCAAATAATTATAGTGTCTTTATCTTTAGGAACACAAATAGGGGTAGAAAAGGTCTATATGGTCTTAAATGCTAATGTCTTGCAAATCTGAACATTATCTTTATGAATATGAAACCCTCTTTATAATAGTGTGAAAATCTCTCTCTAGTAGACGTATTTTAAAATTGTGAGGCTAATAACGACACGTCATGGGTCAAAGCGGACACTATCTACTAGCGGTGGGCTTGAGTTGTTAAAAATAGTATCAAAGTCAGACATCAGACGGTTTGTCAACAAGGATGCTAGATTTCCAATGAAGGTGGATTGTGAGATCACATGTTGATTGGAGAGGGGAATGAAGCATTCGTTATAAAAGTGTGAAAACCTTTTCCTAGTAGATGCATTTTAAAACTGCGAGGCTGATAACGATACGTAACAGACCAAAGCGGATAATATCTATTAGCGGTGAGTTATTATACATATACTTTTGACCAAAATATTAAAAAGTCGTATCTCGTGACCAAAAAGTTGTGCTACTTAATGAGACAGTTTGGTCTAGCCTTTATTTAATTTTTTATTAGCCCTTTATGCCTCAAATCTGAGCCTTTTTTTTTTTAATTAAATAAAGCTGTGGGCCAATTAAAAAAATTTCCAATTTATTTAATAATTCTATACATGCATATCATTCATTCTTCCTTCATACAATATATTTATATAATTTACAATAGCATATTCCAGTGCGTCACCTCTTAATATATAATTACTATTTATATAATAAAGTTTTTAATTAAATGTCGAGAATGGAAAGATAATGCCAAGTGCTAAGCACCAACGTGAGCATCACTATTGTCAATATTTATAAAAAGAATAAAAATAAATTGTTTTTTTTAATGTATACATTATATTGATACGATGATATAATATATGGTTTGCCTACCTTATTATAAGATTGTTTAGACGGTTAATATGGGATCCAATGCTCAAAGTCTTGATTAATCTTAATAAAAAAAGATTATAGAACAAGGAAGAGATTTGTTGTCAAAAGACTCAAATGGCTGAAGAGATGGAGGCGTTTTCGTTATTCTTGGAATATCAAATGCAAAAAAGAACGGATTTGTCTAGTCTATAAAAAAGATAAGAATGTACATGTGCAATACAACTTATTAGTGATGGTCGTAGCACTAGGAGCTTTTAAGGGAGATAGGAGATTCAAGTTACCGGTGATGGTCGCGACACTAGGAACTTTCAAAGTAGGAGAGGGTCCGACAATCATACCATTGTGATTGGAAAGACGTGTTCCCTACAAATAACACCACCCCTGTACCATGCATGCCGAGATGACTTGTAACAGCTCAAGCAAACCTCTTTCTTTTAGACTTCTCCTCAAAGTTTTTAAAACGTGTCTGTCAAGGAGCTGCTAGGGAGAGGTTTCCACACAATTATAAAAGGTTTCATTCTCCTCTCCAACATTTAAGATGGGATCTCACAATCCGCCCTCTTTCAAGGCCCAACATTTAATGTGGGATCTCACAATTCACCTCTTTTCGAAGCCCAACGTTTAATATGGAATCTCACACGATTGCACGGTACATCGGCAAAAACCTAATCTTGCAAAACTTCACCTTTCAACAAAGAAAGTTGTATTCGACGTCATGTGAATGAAGAGTTAAAAAGCCACTCCGAAATGGATTCATCATGGGCCAAGAGTGTTCCATGTTAAGAGTTATGCCCCTTCATTTTCGTGGCAGCCATGATAGGATATTCCAAGCTAGAAAATTGACATATTTGTCTGAACAAGAGCTGGTCGATGGTGACATGGGTTTGGGTTCGGGTTCGAGTATGGAAGTTGAGCACGATCGGTGATAACTTTAGGGATGAATGCACAGGCAAGGATATGGAAGATAATATTCAACGCCAAAAAAAGTAGCTGATAATTCCGATAAGCATGTCTACATAGCAACATAAACAAAACGAACACAAACTAATTACTCGCCCCATCATACGAGGGAGCTCTCACTCGTTTGGGGAGAACCGCATAACTTATTACTACCACTCAACTAACTTAGCATGATATAAAACTAGGCCAGACCTTGAAGAAAATCAGAATAGCAGTACATATACGTAGGTACATACAGCCGTCCTTCATCGAGCACGATTTATAACTTGGTTCGATGGCCTGATGTTGGCATATTCTAGTTGCTAGATTGACGCAGTTCTGGGCGAACGAAATCGGCGTCTTCTGGAACAGAAATGTCGACAGTGGGTCTCAACTGGGCGCATGTTTCAATTGCTCCATGAACTGGGTCAGACAGGAAGTTGCTGATGAGGTCTTGGTTGATGGCTGAACCATTGTCAATGGCAACCAGGGCTTGTTGGGTGAGAATGTAATCGAAGCGTGGAGCCCATTTTCGGGATCCCAGTCGTGCTGTTGTAGAACAGTTGTCGACCATAAATGCAACACCACGAGCATGCATGAACGGGTTCAAAGAGTCCACTGATTCGATCACACTTTCGTTGATGATCTCAGAGTAAGAGTGGCCCTTTTTCCTCAGAATCTCGATCTGAAAATATTTATTATGAAGCAGGGAGACAATTCGAGTAAATTTAAGGTTTAAGAGTCAACACGTCGTTAACATAACAGGTAACAACTTCGTCGTTTTCATAACGACCAACTTCCCGTATCATTGGAATAGATTTCTAAGGTTCAAGAGTCAGCAAGTTGTCATGAGACAGGGAAAGCCCATACCTGAGC